CGATGCCGACGGTGAATCCGGTGAACGGCACCGGTGGAGACCATCCTCTGTGGCAATGTTCTGAGGCCGATTGCTCTGGGTCTTTCTCTACTCTGGCTTCTTGAGAGCCTTCTGAAAGGCCTCTGTTGCTCTGGGTGTGCTGACCACTACATTTCCACAAACACAAGCTGGTTTTGTTGATCCAGACAAAAGTTAGTCCTGTGGATTTCTATGATGCAGCAAATCGTATTTGTTAAATTAGTTTTTATTTATTTATTTATTATTATTATTATTATTCTTTCCATGATGTTTTTCCAAATGATTCAGTCTCAGGAGTTTTCTTTCCCCTCTAGTTTGCCCATCTATATTCGAAGTGATTCATGATGATCCCAAAACATTAAATATTTTTTAAAAAATAATAATAATTTGGATAAGGTCTTGTTTGTCCTCTTTGTTTCTGGTCATTTGTTTTTGGTTATTATATATAAAAAGAAGCCCTTTCTCTAAGCGGATGGACAGGTGGAGACGGCGAGCATGGGATGGCAAAGGAGGATGATTGCTCGGTGTTTATTGCACACTTTTTAAAATAGAAATAAAAGTGTTACAAAAAGTATATTTTAAGATGTTTTCTGTACTTATTTCTAAATAATATTACATGCGGTTAATTTAATTTAATTGATTTTGGGTTACCGAACTTTTTGTTTAGTTATTATATATGTTTACATTGTGAGTTTGATATGGATAACAACTGATCATGTTGTGATTCTGTCTATTGCATTAAGTTGCAAAGGTTGGAGATCAGGACCACTTAAATTTGTATGTAATCGAGTTTTGACAACTATAAAATAATATATTTAGGCCAGCCCATGTTTCTTTTGACAAAATAAAGTTCCTTGTGGCTAAACAAGTTGTGAAAGAAGATAATATGGAAATTTTATCTTAGATCTCCCCCCCTCTCTGCACATCACACTCTCTTCTCTCTCATCCCCTAAACGTCTCTCTGCTCCCTCTCTTCTGGCCGATCCTATCTCATCCCTTCCATCTCTTCCCAATTTTCATATTTTTTTCTCTTTGAATAGATATATACATATGATTTGGATATATGTGTGTATTTACAGACACAAAATCAATTTGGATATGTATGATACCCACATAACTATCAATCCAATCTTCTCCACAATAGTTTGGCCCCCTCTTCATCTTCTTCCTCTCTATTTAAACAAGAAAAGTCCTCTAGCGTGTCCCATCGGTGTCCGGGGTGTCCAATTGTGTATTTTTTTAAAACCATAAGCTGTTTGTCAAAAACAAAATATATATAGGAAGAAAATAGAGACATAATATCTTATGGATGTTTGCTTTATCAGAACAAAATGGATAGGTGTAATTTGTGGGTGTAATTTCATATGAATGTTGGCTCGTGGTTTAGGTAGTTGAAGTACTACTTGACCAAGAAATACCTAAAGAAACACAATGTGAGGGATTGGCTTCGGGTGACTGCTTCCAACAAAGACCGAAATGTTTATGAACTGAGGTCCTTCAACATTGCTGAGAACGAGGGCGAAGAGGAAGATTGATGAGGCCAGCTTCTTTATCCAAGAAACTCTCTTATTGTGTCGTCTGTAGTTCAGTTAATGTTAGGGTTTCCTGTGGCATTGTTCTTATCTTACCATGTTGCTTACTCTTTTGCAATCATTTGATTGGGAAATTATGACTTTGTTACTTACCAAAAAAAAAAATTATGACTTTGTTTGAGAGATTTTATTTTATTTTGGATAAATTTGATATTTTAATACCATTTTGTTGTGGAAAAACAAATATATAACAGGGCAATGCAACAAATACAATACCCAAGTCAAATGCGGAATACCTAGAACTGAAACTTTTCCCTCGCTGTGCAAACTTTCAAGATTTACAAATATAGAACAGAGATGGCAAGCAATCAATAAAATCAATTACATAATGAACACCAAGATATACGTGAAAAACCCTTCAGATTGAATAGTAAAGGCCTACTCCGAATAATCTTCCACCATCAACAATAATAATGGGGTTACAACTGGTCTTCTCTAGATTTTGAACTGTCAACAATAATAATGGGCTTACAAATCAGAGATTCTTCAAAGGGAAGTCAAATCCTCTAATACCATAATGAAATGTCATCCAAAAAAAGGATGGATATCAACAACAAAGATAAGTAATTTAACCCGGTGTAGCAGAACGTAAAATAGAGATAAACGGTGAACCTGGCCAAAGAGAATGATCTTCTCAATGCTAGCAACCTTCCCTTGAAGCTACACCTTTATCGAAGTTTAATGGCCAACTGGTTTGCAGAGTTGCGGACTATGGTCATCCGCAATCTCTCTCTCTTCTCTCACGATGAAGAAAACACCCACTCCTCCTTCTATTGACTGAACCGAATCTCTTTATTCTCATTAACCCTATATCTCTACTAAAGGAGGATATAAATACGGGCTTCCACATAAGCTTTGCACATCCAAGTGGGTTGAACCATGTGAGACTTATCGGGCTCTCCACATAGGAGGGAACCAGCCCAACACATTGAAGAACCGTTTGAGAATTTGTGCTTACCCCTTTATTATTATTATTATTAGTAACTTTTTTTTTAACAGGAAAAGTAAAAATTAGTTCCTTTTAGTAATAAGGGCCCTAAATGAATCACCTTGGAATGTGATTTCTTATTATTGATTTTTATTTATATATACATTTGATTTACAATTATAAGAGCAACGTAATTGTGAATAAATTAATACCAGGGGTTGTATTATAAAATTTAATATATAAACGTCTTTGGGTTTTTCTCCCGAGTCTTGTAAATATTGTCGTGCTAATTCTTATGGAAAATTATGACACTATGTTAATGAGATAAAATATATATATGTATATATATGTATATGTATATCTATATATGTTAACATTTGTGGAGACAATCTCAGTTCTTCAAGTCGGAAAAAAATCGAGGGTCTTCGGGTCCAAAGTGCATGGTGAGGAAAATGAGTGTACGGCGATCACACTTTTAAGTCTTAGAAGGAAAAAAAAGAAAAAAAAAATTTCAATAATGTGAATACATTTCACACAAATCATTATTATTATTACTATTTATTTTTAGCAATTTTTTCTCAGATGAATATAATAATCCATTTGAGTCCTCAAAAGGATAACATATTGATTAATGTAAATTATGTAAGGCAATTTGGTTTCTTTTTTTGGGTAAATACTTCGGTTTCATGTCCACCATTAACTTTTCATATTTACAATAACTACTAAAAAACAATAAACACTAAAAAAAAAAAAAATAGTAGACTCAGTCTAACCAAATTACTAGATAGTCTGTTAACAAAATAGTAAATTAAAAGAAAAAGTTTAGATAATTATTAGAGAATCTAAATATTTAAGGTAAAGAATAAAAACATTAAACACCCGTGTACCCAACTTGACTTAAAACAAATGTTTAAACAATTCTAATCACTTGAAAATCATAAAGCATGAATCAAACCGAAAAGAAATGACACCAAGCAGTGAATGTATATTTTTGTTAGAATGTGTTGAAATGTCTTAATTATCTATAATAATTGGGTCTAAATAACATGATTATAAAATATTTATTTAAATGGGTATATATGGGTTCAACCCCTCAACTTTAACACGACATAATTAATTAAACGAATTAGTCGTGTTACCTTGTTTACAATCCAAACCCGTTTATCTCATGTCGTGTTAATGAATCGTGTCGAACTTTGTCACTCCTAATTTATAGAGCACAACACCACCCCTGTTCCCCTCTCTAAGTAAAAGCTGCCCTCACCTAAAATACAATAGGGATAACCTTTACATACATATATATATATATATATTATTTATTTATTTTTCACTTCTGACCCCATTCACATCTTAGCAACCAACCGGGTGTGTTATTAGTTATCACCTCTCTCTCTCTCTCTCTCTCTCTTTAGCTTTGCATCCTTCCAGCAAGATAATCTAAGAGTTTTAGTACTCTACTTCTTCATAGATTTCCATATGGACCATGAAAACTACTTCTCCGTAGATATCCATATGGACCATATAATATAATATATATATATATATATATATATATATATATCTTGAGATTTTATTTGTTACTGGCTTTCTCTTTTATAAGTCTCTCGTATACAATAAATATTATATATATTTATTACAATAACTTCAATGCATGTCTTGTCCCCACCTCGACCCTATATTTCAATGGTTGAAATTTGACATGCACTACGGTTCATTTGAAGTTCATTCCAGATGCCATCTTGTTTTTTTTAACCCAGAAGACACGACACAATGAAGTTATTTCCAAAGCTAATATCTTTTCCAACGTACAATGAATTTTTTCTACTTCTGTAAATATCTCTCTCTTAAGATTTTATTTGTTACTGGCTCTCTCTCACTGCAACAGAGAAGGCCTTTAGTGATGAAACAATTTGTTGCTAAAGGTCCAGCTTTCGTCGCTAAAAGATTTTTAGTGACGAAACTTATTTCGTCCAAGTTCGTTCCTATGCAGCCGTCACTATTAACCTATAGCGACAAACAGTATCTTCGTAGCTAAATCATGCACTTCTAGTGACGAAATATTGTCATCACTAATATATAAGCTTTAGTGATGAATTTATTTCATCACTAACATCGAATCTTTAGCAACAAATCTATTCGTCGAAATATCTAATTAGTTACGATCAATTTTTTGTCACTAAATACAAGCTTCAACATTTTTTTTTTTTTTTGTTGCTAATAGTGGTTGCAACAATTTGTATTTGTCGCTAATGTATACGCTTTAGTGATGAAGCTATTCGTCAGTTAGTAACGATCAATTTTTGTAGCTAAATGCTAGTTTCAACAATTTTTTTGATTGCTGATACTAGTTGCGACGACCGACTTTCATCGCAAAGCCTTTTTGTGACCTTCTAATAATCAAATCGATATGTTACCATTCAATTAAAGTTGTAACTAAATTCCACTCATTTTAACACCAAAAATTGACACATTTGAATAAAATATCAAATTTCATCAAAAAATTACATTACAGTATTTGAGTTCATTACAAAATGAAAGTAACTCCCCAATTGTGCAATACAAATTCAAACCGACAAAAATAAATCAAACTCCCATGCCTTAATACAAGTCTTCGATCTTGCCGTAACATGATGACCACCATTATGAATAAGTTGTGAAACCAACCCCATTAGGATTATGCTACCACTTTCATAGAGCAAAACCTTTCTTAGGACATTAGGCATCAAAGCATTCCCTTGTTCCGCCCTAGAAAAAAAAACAGAAAAAAGGAAAAAAGAAAAAAAAGTATATGCAATAAAAATAAGTAAACAAAACTAAATCTATTAAAAATGTGTAAGCAATGCCAATGTCCCTTTTCAAAGTGAGTATTGTTCATGACATCACAAACCATACAAGGCATTCCACAAACCATATGTAAGGCCAAGAGTGCATACAAAAATAATAATAATAATTTGGGATAGAGTGTACTCTCAATCCATTCTTTTATTTCAAAGTGTTAATGTTCATTAGAATATGATATTCATCAAATACAAGTTCATTATTATAGTTTATGAACACAACAAGATTAATCTGAGGATACAATCTAAATAAATCAATTAATAATACTACTTAAATCAATTGGATGGCCATTTATTTTCTAATTATAGGCTAGTGTTATTTGATAGTTTCTAAAGAATGAATGAAATTTGTGAATGATATATTAAATAGTGAAAGAGTAATGAAAAACCTATTAATTCTTACATGATAAAACCATTGTTATTGATATCAGCTGCAAGTAACTCCTCCATAATGATTTCCAGATGTAACACACACTTGGGAATCCTTCTATGCTTCTTCACCGATTTTATGTTTTCACATCATGAGAAAACCATAGTCAAAAGTGGAAAATGGAAAGTAAGCGTCTCAATAAAAATAAACTAGGACACAAGGTATATGGTACCTTTTTATCACAAAATAAAAAATATAGAAGTAGAAATTCACTTTCTTTCTACCTGCAAGAAGAATAAATGGTTATTCACTAGGAAAACTGTAATACCCCTAATTTTAAAAGGATAGTCCTGACATTTATTTAATTATTTAATATTTTATTTAATTGTTTAATTGCATGTTATTCTATAAATTGGTTATATTAATTGTGTGTTTCTCCCATGGTTATTTAAATTTGATTTTGTTTTAATTAATGGTTTATATTGTTTTGTTTTCTTTTATTAAATTATTTTAAATTAAATTGTTTTTATGATGTTTTATTTGACTTAATTGATAATTGGTTTTATTTAATTAAATTGGTTTAAATTAGGATTGTGTTTTTCTGTATATTCACGTATTAGCCGACATAGGTTATAACTTAGGTTGTTCTTGGGCCGACTAAGTGTTGCATTAGGGCTCAAATTATACAAGGATTAGGGTTGGATTACTATGCCTATATATATGACCTTATGTGGGTTTAGAGTTGGAGGAAAAAAATACGTAAAACTCTATTCCCGTATACAGTGATATAGAGAATTGTGGGAGCAGAGAAACAGAGAGGGAACTTGAGTAAATAACAGAGAGGACCAAGGGAGGATTTTGGTGGATTAGATCAGAAGTAATAGGAGGCTAGACAGTGTTGCAATTGTTGCCGGAAGTTAGGACGACGGCGACAAGTTTTGAGTCTAAAACAACAGGCAAGTTCTTTTCCTTCTTTTTCCCTTTGCTTGTGTTCTGTGCACCTAGGTGGTCTCTAAGATTTAATTAAGAATTAACTGGGTTTCTTATGTATATTTGATGGTATATCGATGTTCTGTATGTGTGGGAATTTATCTAGTTACAGTTTGTGCGTGTCTGTAATTTATTTGTTTCTTGAAGCATGAAAATCTTATAAATCTGTATCCTCTGTTTTTGTATGCAATTGTTATAAACACATCTTGAGAATGATACTGGACTTAGATGGAACTCTTAGGATCAATTTAAAACCAACTGGACAGGTTGTGAATGGCCGAAAACACTGAAGAAAGTTACAAAGGGAACAGAGGTTGCAGGAGGCTCGAGGAGGAGGAGAGAGCCAGCTCCCCCATCAAAGAGCCGGCTCTAGGAGAGGTAGAACCGGCTCTAGGCTGCTAGAGCCTGCTCCCAAAATTTGGAGCAGGCTCCCTCTTCCATTTTGCACACTGATATGTTTTTTTTTTGTGTTTTTACGAACTGTGTGTTAATATTTGGAGCATGAAAATTATTCTGTTTAATCTGGGGTTGTACAAGGTGATTAGGAAGATGGTTTTGGGCATTACTAAGACTTAAAACTAATTAGAATTCAGTTCTAATTACTTGGAACAAACAGTAACAATTTAGTGAAACTATGTATACGGTTAACGGATGAAAGGTGGATTAAGCGCTTAATTAAATTTTAGCAATATAATGGGAAGTAGGATGGTTATAAAACCTATTTTAAATGCATGGTAGGGTTCTCTGTGTATTTATGTCGATCTATTCATGCAATGGGATGTTAATTGTCGAATTATTAAACTTTTTCTGCAACTACTTGGATTACCGTTGGAATTTAATTGCTAGAATATTAATCAACGTCTCTGCGATTCTTTGGATGTTAGTTTGAACTAAAATTTACCATCTATATATTTATTTTGCTGTATACATGCTTTGAGATGTTAATTTTTGAAATGGTAAATTTTTTCTACAAATACATGGATTAGTGTTGGATTTAAATTGCTAGATCAACAAAACCTTTTATGCAATTATTTGGATATTAGTTTGGACTGTAAATTATTCAGTTATGAATTAAACGCTGTAATTTACATGGATATGGAGGATTGTATGCACCGGTATGGGACGGTGACATATTAGGGATGGTTTAGCTTAAAAACGCTAACCTAACCCACCGGATGGAAAGAATGGATTATAAATTATTGAATCCATCAATGTGCTTAAGTCAAATCAACTGACTAGGTTGAATGACTCCTTGGATTAATTGGTTGTGGTTAAGTCACTTCAACTGAATAAGTTGAGTGCTTATCTAGACGGTATTTTGTATGTCTCTTCATTGAATAGGTGAATGACATAGTATGGTTTCGGATGGACTTTAGATATATGGTTATGATACCACGATATGAGCGTGAGTCTCAGAGTCATTGGTTAGAGTGCGTATATGCAGTGGATGCGTAGCTGGATATAGTCGGTAGGTGTACCCTGTTAGGTCTAGGTACTCATGCCCACCTTTGGGTACGTTTTCGCATGTTGCCTTCTATTCAGGTTGAGACCTCTACTATAGTCCAGTGAATGTCCTTACTGTGGATATATATATGTAGATTTATGGATTACGTAGTTATGTTGAGGGTATCTTGGGTGTATCTGCGTATCGGGCACTGTATGGATTACAGTTGGAATATGACTTGCATGTGGGCCTGACCCACTTCTTTATTTTTCAGGTGCTCGTCAATTCCAGGGTTAGAGTTTGGACGTGCAAGCAGATGCAGCTATTCATTCCTCCGATTATGTAGGAATCTTCTCTATGTTAGTTTTGGATTTTATTTTTATGGTTTTTCAGTATCTTTTGGAGATTTTTAATAAGGGGTCCAATGGATGGATTCCCGAGTTGTAAATTTATGGAGTTATGGATTAACAGGTTTTAAGTATTTATTTATAAAGGATTTTATTTCTAGATTCTTTCAGCTTATTATTTTTAATTCTTATTTTATCTTGTATTCCGTGTTCGGTTACATATTAATTGTTTGATATCCCTCGGGTTTGGGCCTGGGCTTGATCAACCCGTGTCTCGGATCCGAGGGGTATCACAGTTGGTATCAGAGCACTCCGGGTTCAAGTGTCTCTAGGACGTTTCGTATTAAGACTTCCGCGTAGCGTTTTTTTTTTATTTGTATAGAGCTTATGTTTAGGATTCGTTGAATTCTTTCACGGTTCGTTTAAACTCGTACTGATGTCTGTCTTTCTATGTTAATAGCATGGTTAACACTGAAAGAAGACAGAACATGAACAGTCGACAGAGGAGAGCGGCACGTAGACAGTAGGAACGTCTACAACGTCGGCAAATGGAAGAAGAGCAGCAAATGCCAGGGTTTCATGAGGAGCAGGAGGAAGTTCAATAAGTTCAGGGTCTGGTCAGAGATCCAGAGATTCCTCCTCACCTCAATGACCTCGTTGCTCGGGCTATAGAAGCTGGGGTAACAGCTGCACTTCGAAATCAGCCTCAGGTACAGCTGGCACTGCTACCAGCACCGGTTGATCAGACGGATTCTTGGGGAAAGGCTAGAAGCTCTTTCACAAAGGGGAGTCCACCTGTGTTCTCAGGCTCAACCAATGCGAGAGCAGCTCACCAGTGGAAACAGGACATTGAGCGTCATCTTCGTTTGGTTCAGTGCACGGAGGTTCAGAAGCAGATGCTTGCTACTTTCAAGCTAGTTGGGGATGCACTACAGTGGTGGGAGTCAGTTACCACCTCAGAGGAAAGGATGACATTGTCTTATGATGCGTTCAGTGCTCGCTTTGATGAGAAATATTTTCCCTATGTAGTCAGGGCAGCTATGAAGACCGAGTTTCTAAGTCTGCAGTAGGGAAACATGACAGTGGCGGAGTATGAGCAGCAGTTCACACGCTTGTCTCTCTTTACACCGGAGGAGGTGGATACAGAGGAGAAGAAGCGTAACAGTTTCGTCAAGAGACTGATGTGGTCTATCAAGAGAGCTATTACAGGTAGTCCAGCCTATACTACCTATGCTCAGGTGGTAGACGCCGCTCTACAACAGTATCAGTTGACTGTGGACATCAGACAGGCTCGTGGTGAGAAGCGGGGAGATAAAGACTCTACTAATCAGTCAGCTGAAAAGGGGAATGGCAATAGTCACTAGCAGAATGACAAAGGCAAGTTCCAGGGACAACAGCCTTGGAAGAAGCACAAGGGTGGTTCAGATGCTCATCGGAATGGGGCACCTATTTAGAGGCAACAGAATGGGGGACCACAGGCAGGACAGGGTCAGCCACAGGCTAACCGACAAAGGAGGCCATTTGGTACTTTCCAGGGTAGTTGTTACACTTGTGGAGAGTATGGTCATACCACCAGGCAGTGTCCTAAAGTAGGACAAGGACAGGGACAAAGACAGTATGTGCAGCAGGGACAGAGGCGCCAGTGCCTCTACTAGCTCCACAGGTTCCACGGATTCAGGGACAGACACATCTGGCTTTACCGGTACCACCGCAAACTCAGGGACAGGCACTATAACAGTTGCACTATGGCAGGGTGTATAACCCCATACCACAGGATGTTCAGGCACCTCAGACTATTGAGGGTAAGTTTCCTATTCATGGTTTGCATGGACGTGTTTTATTTGATACAGGTGCTACACACTCATTTGTAACTAGGACTTTTGTTACTTTATCTGGGATGAGGACGAGGGTATGCACTAGACCTCAGGGTATTTCTACACCATTGGGTGATACAGCTATTATACATGAGACTGATGGGCTTGTGACACTAGATATTGGCAGACTCAGATCTCTAACCAATCTATTGGTCCTGGACATGCACACTTATGATGTGATACTTGGGATGGATTGGTTGTCTCACTACCATGCCCAAGTTGATTGTTTTGATAGGTCTATTATTTTTACCATACCTGGTCATGATATGTATGTAGTAGCTATGCCACATTCTAAAAGGGGCGGTAACACCTATTTGTTCCATGTGGAGGGAGAATATAAGGAGGGGATTATTGTGCCATTGGATAACATACCGATTGTACAGGATTTCCCGGATGTGTTTCGGGGATTCCAGGGTTGCCACCTAGTCGAGAGATTGATTTTGTGATAAACTTAACTCCAGGCACTGCGCCTATTGCTAGGGCACCCTATAGGATGGCACCGGTGGAGATGAGAGAGCTGAGGGATCAGATTCAGCAGTTACTCAGTCAGGGTTTTATTCGTAGAAGTACATCACCTTGGGGAGCACCGGTTCTGTTTGTGAAGAAGAAGGATGGTTCGCTTCGCCTGT